TATGGTTTCTTAGAGTTTGCGCACAGAAAAAAATTAGAAGTTAAAATCTGAAACCTCACCGTGCAATGCATTCTGGGAAATGTTGTCTGACATTTTAAAGTCCATTTCTGATGTTCAGAATGTCAGAATGGCGTTAACACATTTAACGCCATTTAAAAAAAAAAAATTAAACCAGAACACAGATTGGAACCCAATTTGACTGAGGCTGAGATTTCAGCGCTGGCGGAGCTGGTGGACAATCATGACATTGTCATCAAGCCTGCGGAAAAAGGGAGTGCAATTGTCATTCTGGACAGATTCCAATATTTGTGGGAATGTTACAGAAAACTATCAGATGCAAATTACTACCTGAAACTCTCCAAGCCGATCTACCTGGAAACAATTGCGATTGTGACTAAAATTATGAATTGGTTGCACAAAAAGAAATTCATTTCGGCAAAACAAAAAACTTACCTCTTAGGACCATTTGAACCCAGGCCCAGATTATTTTATATTTTGCTGAAAATACACAAAGAACCAGGTAAATGGACATCGACAGCAGCAATATTGTCACTGAAGAGGGTATAAACGCTGTCCAGAATGTCTTTCGTCAGAATCCTGATGGTGGGAGACCAGACCAGGAAATCATTCAACTTTTGGAGATTAATTTGCTCAGGAATGATTTCAGGTTTAATGGAGAGTGGTTCTCGCAGATGAAGGGAACCGCCATGGGGAAGAGGTTCGCGCCGGCCTACACAAACATCTTCATGGCGGAGTGGGAGCGGTCCGCTCTGGATGCCTGTGATAAAAAGCCGCTGCATTATTACAGGTATTTGGATGAGATCTGGGGTGTGTGGTAACATTCAGAGGAGGAGTTCAACCGCTTCCTACACACCCTAAACACGCATAATGCTTCCATTAAAATTAAATCTTCCACCAGCGTTAAAGCCGTGGATTTCTTGGATACCACAACCTGTTAAGGTCAAAATTTCCACCACACCGGCCGATTGGACATCAAAGTCTATTTCAAACCTACTGACACCCATGCACTGTTATTTAAATCTAGTTTCCATCCGAAGCACACGCTTGCGGGATTGGTTAAATTACAATTAATTCGTTTTGATAGGATTTGCACACAAAAAGCAGATTTTTTTTGAAGCAGTTAGGGTGCTGTTTTTGGTTTTGTCCAGCAGGGGGTACTGTAGGTCCTTCTTAAGGAGGTGTTTGAAGGCCTTTTCTGAATCCAGACGGCCCAAAGATGAGACTACCATGACGCTTCCTTTCATCACCACCTACTCACCTGCTACAGTTGATTTGGCTCGTGGTTTAAAAAAATTTTTTAGGGAATTTCAATCCGTTAGTGGAAGGCTGACCGATAGGAGGGTCATACCTGCTTTCCGCAGAAACAGGAACCTGAAGGACCATCTTGTTCATGCGAAGATCGGATCACAGATTGAGCCGATAGCACCAATTGGGCAGGGTCGATGCTTGAGACACCAAAAATGGTTGCTGAAACATCGAACCCAAAAAGTTGATTTTGTCCCACCTGCAGGCGGGGGCCCACAGACCACAAATTGCGTTTATTTAATTCAATGCTGTCGCTGTAAGAGCAGGTTTGTGGGTCACACGGCGAACACCATGCTGGCCAGATTGGTCTTACATGAACGAGATGTTGCCCGACGGCTTATGAGGAAGCCAACCGCCTGTTCTGTGCTCATTTTGCACGGCATGGCTGGAGATCAGTCGAGGTCATGATTTTGCAACATGACCCGACTTGGACCCTGGGCCAAAGGCGAAAGGCAGCCTTGGTCTGGGCAGCCAGACTGGACACACACTGGCCTCTGGGGCTGAACGAGTAGTGACTGCCTCGGCTTTGGGGACCGTGAGAGTGATATGGCCAGTGTTTTGCGTCTCTGCTGCCGTTCTGCGGTGATGGAGGCGCGTTTAGTCCTTGGACCGTTTATCCCTATCCTTGAGTCCAGACCCCCCGATTCATCACCTATGATCCCCTGATCACCACATTCTCCTCCTCAGCAGGACATTTTGTGCATAACATCAAGCAGAATTTTACTAAATTCCAATCTGAAACGTCTGCTTCAAAATTACAGAATAATTGCGGCCTACAAAATAAATAAAAACCTAAGGGATTTCCTCGTCCAAGCTGAGGTAAGACCTCTGAATGGACCAAAGGTCAAAGGTCAGGGTGGATTCTTCAAGCAGCTGCACTGGGTATAAAACAGATTTAAAAGCACAATTTTCAAATTAGACCCATCAGGAAACCCCAAATCAAAAAATTGTGTTTATTTGATTACCTGCCAAATTTGTAAGATCCAGTATGTGGGTGAAACGGGTAACAGCCTCCTTACTCGTTTCACCCAACATAGATATAACATTCAAAAACTAAAAAACTCACGTACCCTTAGTGCAGTACTTTATACGCCATGGCTGGGATGCACTTTCAGCCTCGGTGCTGGAGTGCGACCCAGCCTGGTCTTCAGCCCAGAGGAGAAGGGCTGAAAGGTTATGGATCCAAAGGCTGGAGACTCGGATCCCTAGAGGTCTGAATGAGAGATAGGCCTCGCGTAGAGGCTCCCAGCAGAACGTGCCCGTGCACACAGTGGTGGGGGAAGAGGGTAAGGGGGAGAAGGAAGGGGGTTCAATTTATTTGACCTTTGACCTCTGACCTTTGACCCTGACCCCAACCCTTACCCTAACCCGGGGTTGGACCATGGATGAGAACCACGGTCAAACCCCGGAGCTCAAAGCCCACGGGAGGGGCCGGGTGCTCGACCGAGGAGGCAGGGCCCCCTTTGCGTGATTTTCATTCTGGGTCCTAACCCACTAACCCCGTCATATGTTGCCAGCTTAACTTTAGCTGCTTCATGCAGGTGGTTGTCTTGCCACCTCATGCCTACTCTCAGTCTGGCCAAGTCCTCCATATGCATCTTGTGAAATAGAATGTGCCGCAGATGAGTGCTGATGTATGTCTCTCACTGTACGCCTTACAGCTGGATCATGGATGGCTGAAGTGTTGGATGGGCCTGCATTATGTGACCTTTGGCGAATGACTTCCAATTCTGCAGTAAACGGTGTGTGTGTGGTTGAACACAGGGTACTTCTGGGGTTTCCTGCACCATTAAGGGAGGAAGGGCAGCCTCAGGATTCAGCATTTGGCTGCTTGTTGATTGCACTGCTCTAGATGTCTCTCTTTGTTCTGCTGCAACATGCTGTAGCACTGGTGTTAGCAGCTGCTTTAACTGTTTTGACTGATGGTCCAACAACACTTGCAGCCATGGTGGAGGTTGGTCTGATGGCGCTGCAGTAGCTCCCAGTAGTTCCTCATTTTCATCCATTATTATTATTTATTTATATATATATTATATATATATATATATATATTATATATATATATATATATATATATATATATATATATATATATATATATATATAATTATAGTCACTCGTGCTGCTTTGTTTTAGGCTTCAGCACATCCAGCTACTGTTTTTACAGTGAGGCCGTTATGTTTCTTGACAGCCGTTTTTTTTTTTTCCGCCTTACTTTTGCTGGAGCGATTTATCCGAAACACCCAAGACGTCCCTCCGTGTCTTGAATCCGGTCCGGAACATCCCACTTCTGACACCAGTTGTTAGCGGTGCCAGCGGATGGATTGTAAGGGTGCAGGATAAAAACTCCAGGAGAAAATAATGTTGATCTTCCTTTAATGTTGATAAACCACCCGGAGCCCAGCCGGGTGGTTTATGTGCTCTAACGCCGAGGCAGATGAACTTTACACATCCACACCAGAGTCAGCGAGCATCAACACAAAAACAAAAGTCCCCCCCGACAAAAAAGATCCCCCTGGAACACACAACCACTGCATGCAGAGTTCCGTTAACAAGATAAATACACAGTAACACACTTCCTCAGATCAACCTAGCAAGTATGGGAAATAATACTGGCATAAGGTGAAACATACAAGTACTACAATATATCGATATCTATATATAGATATTTCTTTTTTTTGTTACACAATATTTGTAAATGCAAAGGTGAATATTATAACTAGGCACTTTAAAGATGATGTGCACCAAAAATATTTGTGGTATGTTTATTTAAACCTCCGTTGCTAACCTCTTCTCTGGGAGGTCTGTAGCAGTCTTCTTCTCGCCAAGGTGCTACCAAGATATAAACAGCTATGGTCATGTGATCATTTACTCTAAAAATGTGATACTGCATCAGTATTATCCAGTTTCTCTGTGATTGTATTATTTTGTGTTTATTTATATAAATATGTATTGATATTATGAAATAATATATTTAAAAAATAAGACTAGTTGTGTGCTTTGTAAAATGCTCATCATTCATCAATATCAAAATATTCTATTCCGAATCTATTCTGTTTTCCCCATTAAGAAATTTAAATATGCCGAACCATGTATCAATCCAATTCAAAAATACTTCAATAACTTTCTTGTAAATGTAGATATTTCAGCTGTTTGACTGTTTACATTTTAAAAAAATGGTAAAAATCCGTTAACTATTTAGCGAGTTATGATTGATTAAATGTGCTGATTTCAGTTCACCTGTCAAACATGTAAGGCTGAATGGAACGGTCAACTGCTCCAAGATGGCCGCCTTAAATCTCGTCACCGACAACAGCCAAGAGCTATGAGGTGTCTATCCTTTATATATGTCTATGGTGGGACTAATGCGCCTGTCTCCAATATTGGAGGGTACAAATCCCACCCATACCGCCCCCCACCCCCAGTTCCTACACCTATGGCTCAAATAAAGCAAAAAATATGGCAAAATAAAAGTCTGAACTTCAATCCTGGCTGAGTTTTTTTTTTTCAAAAATGCATTAAATCTAGGATATTCTTTTGGTTGCAAAGGAATATCCTTTTGGACTAATTTTTTTTATGAAAAAAATCTGTCCAAGACAAAAAATCAGATATAACAAAAGTTACAGAAATAATATTCCAATACCAGTGCAGAAATATACAGCGACCTGCATAACTCCATGTTTTCAATTTTTATTCAGTCAGTGCAAAATGGTTCAATGTGAGTCATGCAAGAGGTCAGCAGACAACAAACTGGTTCAAAGACAGCGTGCAAAATGAAACACTGCTTTCTCAGGAAGCTGGGCTTTTCTCTTCTGACCTGAAACATGAAAACCCTCTGCAGTGTAGTTGGACAGACACTCAGTCTGTCTAACTGTCTGCTTTCCACGCATTAATGGTACACATACTTAAACACCAGTGTTTAAGACAAAAGTCCATCATTCAGTTTTCAGAGAGGGAAAGACAAAGTTAGATATAAACCAGATTCTGGATCATGGACTGAATGCCCAACCAGTAGTGTTTCTGTCTTTATGTACCACACTCTTTTTAGATAAGTTCTCGCTAATTACGCACCAATCAGAATTCAGACTCTGCAGTTTTGGTAAAAATTTGACCAGATCTTATTGATGATGACTGTTTTTTAGAAATTAGAATACAGAAAATCAAAAATTTATATTTTTTCCTTGCCTTCCTGATGTAAGCGATCATAAATTATTTCGATTGGAAGTAGAGGCCATGTCACACCGTGTGAGAGAGGAGTAGCTGTAAAAATGTTTCATTGTCTTAAACAAAGTTGATATTTGAAGCATCCACTCATGCTTAGCGTTATAAAATAGAAATCTCTATCTGTTTAAAAACAGCATAAAACAAGAGTGTCTTGCTACTCTGACTCTGTTCAACCTTCTTGTTATCAGCTTCATCTCTCTCTCTCTTTTTCTAAATACCTTCTTGCATTTGAATGTCTTCAAACCCGCAAACTGACACTAAAAACAGATACATTTGACACTTTGTACCTCAGTAACAGTCACCACATTGAAGAGTGTTGGTACCCTGACCTGGAGCTCAGATAGGAAATAATTGGAAAAGCCTGGATGTTGAGTTTATGACCCCCAGTCAGAGGTCAAGACTAGTTTTGTTGTTTTTCTTATGACAATGGCAAAGCACTACTCAATACTTTTACAATGCAAAAGGATTTTCTCCCCGTAAAACAGATTTTGATGAGTAATGTAATGTTGGGTCTTGCAACAATCCAGCTAGTATCTTGTGGTAATTTCACCATAAGGTACTTTTTGTTTGGCATCCCAAAGTTTCTGTTCGTCCTCAAAGATGTTCCTGGGCCATCCCTCCTCCTGCAGGAAGTAGTAGGTTAGAGTGGGCTCGTCCCTGAAGCTCTGCTGGCCTGTCGGGTGGCGCACCACTCCGCCCCTCTGAAGACGAACGGCGTAATGTTTGGCCTCGGCCCATCTGGCACACAGAACTTGTTCTAACCAGTCCACCAAGTCACTCCCTCGAAAGACTCCTTCAGGGCAGAACTGGGGCGCGCTTGAGTAGAGGTCATTGTGTCCCTGATGGGTAGAAATGTATCCGAGGTGTTTATCTGAACTCTCCATATTGGAAGGAAGTGAAATTTGGTTGCATGATTCGTCTGGACTGGAATTCCTGTGCAGATTCTGTGACTTGCCATCTCTCTGAGGATTTGTATTTAAATACTGGGGATGATGGGAAAGGTAACGTCCAATTCCATTCTCCTGCTTCACTCACCCAAACCTGTGACAATCAGAGGAATGATTCACCTGCCGAAGCATTCACACTCTCCCTTGAGCCACTAGGTGGTGATGAAGAGAAGTGGAGCACAGGAAGCAGCAAAGTAAAGGAAAGATGGCAGAGACAGGGAAAGAAAAAGCAAGGAAAAGATTAATTAATCTGAGGTGAAAGGTGACAGAAGAATAGGAACTTGTTTGAAGAAAAGCAAAGAGTATCAGCCAAGAGTCATAAAATTATAGCGCCTGGGTCTTTTCAGTAGTATGGAAAGGTTTCATGTTAAATGCTTGCTGTTGCTCTGCGGGAAACAAGACAGTAATACTAGAAGTAGACAGTAAGTGAAAATAGCCTTTTTTTTTATTTGAAAATAATCAAAACAGAAAGATGTCATGCATTTGTGTTCAACCCCCTTTACTCCATTACTGATGAAGAAAATCCATGTAAAACTGTCCAAGTATTATTAAGTCTTAGTTCAGCGGTTCTGAACTCAGGAGGGTGTTAGAGAACATTAGAATTAAGAAAACCAAACAGAACAGCACATAGAGCAGAGGTAAAGTTATGAAGAAGTTAAAAACAAGATTATAATATATCCTATAAAAATGGGAATATTCCAACAGCTACATAGATGTGTCTGTCTCCTTAAGCTGACATACTAAATGAGGAAGGCATCAATCAAGAAGTCCTTGGTAACCATCACCAGGCAAGGCTGATGCTAGCATATCCAAGGCTAACACTAGCGATCCCAACATTCAGAGAGACTATTGAAAGATTTAGATAAGGGGTGTCAAACTCCAGTCCTCAAGGGCCGGTGTCCTCCAACTTTTAGATGTGTCTCTGCTGCACCACATGAATAGAATAACTAGGTCATTAGCAAGACTCTGGAGAACTGATCTACACAAGGAGGAGGTAATGAAGCCATTTCATTCCAGTGTTTTGTACCTGTGACACATCTAAAAACGGCAAAAGCGGCACTTGAGGACTGGAGTTTGACACCTGTGATTTAGATGAAGTCTGCCTAGAAAACCAACTGGCAATCATTAGGAAAACTTGAAAATTGATATCTAGAGATGCTCTTCATGTACTTAGACTGAGTTATTTTGCATAGCTGAATGAACAAAGATATCCCAGGAATAATTTTAGCTGTAATTACAGCAAAAAGTATTTTTCAAAGTATTGAATGGCTGAATACAAATGCAAGGTTTTAGATTTTTATTGATCAAGGTACTCATTAAACAGTTATGAATACTCTTACTACATACTACAGAGTGCCAACTGTGTCCCTCGTACCTGTGAGTGTGCACTATGTCTTGTACACACTGGTCTTTGTGGTAGCGGACAAACTGGGTACGGGTGAGTCGGACATCCTCGGGCACGGCAGACGGATTCAGACCCTCTCCATCTTGGCTGTGCCACAGGCTGACAAACCTGGACAACATCATTATTTCAGGACTTTCTCCAAAGACGTTACAAAAGCAATGCGAAATCAAAGCTGAAGTCTCAGCCCACCTGTTCTTGAACGGCACAATGATGAGGTGTCTGTCCAGACCAAATATTCCAAATGAAAGGAAGCCCTGGGAAAGAGCAAGTGAAAACAAGCACAAGCTACAGTTTTTTCTACAACACACACATGCATTTCCACTGACCATATAATTGTTCAAATTTGAAATGCGAAAATAAATTTGGCAATTTTGAAAAAAAAAGAAAGTTTTTTTCCATAAATATTGCACAAGGATGATGTTGTTTTTGGGGGAATTGAAATTAGTGTATTTCACCAAACTTAAATGGAAACATTTATCACTTCACACGAGTCACATGATCAGTAACCAGATGATCAACAACATGAATGTCACTGGTGGTAAAGACGACAACAGGAAGTGGTAGGATGATGGTGCGGCGTGCTTTCAATGATTTATCACTCTAAACTTATTCACTTGTGATTTAATTGGATTTATTTCATTTGTAAAATTGTGTTTTTTTTATATTAGCAGAGCTTCAACAATGTTTTATTGATATTTGCTACAATAAATGGAGCCAGAGATACAAAATCTAGTCAGGCTGAGGTACCTGCCCGTAGTTGGCCACAGCACAGAAAAACTGCAGCTCCAGGTAAAGCCGGCCTGGATCTTTGTTGAACAGCCACCAGAGACAGCTGGACAGATTCTACATGACGAGACAGCAATACATTTGAAGGAGGTTATTAATTTGTCTTTGTGAAACAATCTGTTGCAAGCTGTCCTCTTTGCTTCCTGCTTACAGCCAGCAGACTGACGTTGAGCAGCAAACAGAGCAACACATGTCTCACAGCCTGCTTGTCATCAGTATTCTGAAGGCCTGGAGGAGGCAAATTGAGCGGTTGCTCCGAGTCTGATGAACTCGGCTGCTGTCTGTCACATGGTACTCCGCTGTGGCCTGGAGCAGGAAAACAAAAGTTAGAAATGAGGTTCCGTCAACCTTCCTTGAAGCTGCAGCATAAGTACTAGTAAAAAAGAATGTTTTAAACATATTTGTTAAAGGTGTCACCATGTTGTTAATGTGATTATATGATCATATATGATATAAAAAAAAAACATAATAATAATTAAGCTCCTTCACCTCCTCCCAGTGCTACAACTGCCACCTGAAGGAATGCACTGCTCTCAGTCAAAAACAGCTAGTCAGATCAAAGCGCAGTCAATAAACCTTGGTTACACGTGCTGAACCTTCTGCAGGCAAGGGTCTGAGCAGCATGTACACAAAAGTGATGAACAGTGCTAAGACCCTGATCCTGTCTGTGACTGGTTGTTTCTAACCAAGCGGCATATTTCAGTAGTTAGCATTGCAAACACTGGGAGAAGAAAGAGGGAGTATTTTTTTCACAGATTTTTTGACTCGTATCATACTGTCATGACAGTAATAGTTTTAACAAATATGTAAAAAACATATTATTAATAAACGTTACATACTGCAGTTTTAAGACTACTAATATGAATAATAATAGTGTTGAAATGTTGAATGTGTAAAATTACAGACTATTATCAGCTGTTTCTTTGAACATTTATCAGAATGATTTAAATGTTATGCCTAAATGTTGTCTGCATTAGCTGCTAGTTTGTGCATTTATGAACTTATTACTGTAAGTTTGTTCACTATGTGTGCTGGCCATCATGTCAGGCCTGGACATGATGGAGAGGAGAAATGTGGAAATCTCCTCAACGAGAAAAGACAAAGGGCAAAAGAGAACCAATTATTAACAACAGAGTAACAGTCACACATGTCTCCATCTGGGGATAAAAAACAAGGTCTGAAAAACTCAAATGTTTTCAAATTAAAGAGAGAATCAGAGCGGCACTACGTGAATTGATGCTGCAGATGGGAGAATTTGTGGAGTTGGCCTCCTGTTGCTGCTGCTGCTGCTGCTGTTGTTGATCTTCCAGGTCAGCAGGGGCCCTCAGTTCATCATTGATCCCAGTGATAGCAGTTCGGCTCAGGGCTTCGTACCCAATCAGCTCCCGGTCCCCCTGGCTCAGACCCATTAGAGAAAAGGCACCAAGGGCCAGGCTCACACCCAGAACAACAGCAGAGCTGATTATCTGAGGCAGAAGGAAATGGAGGGGTTTGTTAATGACAGGATGCTAGAAATAAATAAAAATAACACAATTCTTTTGGTTTAGACTGCTACTCCTATACAGGTAACAGTACAAATGAAGTAAAAACGTTTCAAACAAAGAGTGGTGATGTGCCAATAAAAAACAAAAAGACAAAATTGGAAATTCAAAAATACAAAGTTTTTCTGATTTCTGAATGCACTCTATGGAAGTACAACATTCTTCAGTGTTGATGTTGTTACGAAATGAAAAGCAGTCAAAATTAGCTATTGCCAGCATTAAAGAAGCTAAAGGACATCAGATCCAAAAGATCAATTATATCAATACCTCGTTGGTATTGGATCAATGCTAGCATGTTAGGATTGATACTTTAGATTCAAACTCACTCTTAAAAATAGATTTTATCTTTGGTTTCCTAACTATCTCATATATTTAAATTTGATTGTTCTGAAATAATAATATTTTGCACTTTGTTTATGCTGGAAAACATGTTTGTTTTTCCTATTGATCATGGGCATAATGTTAATATGTTATCAAAGTATTTTACATAAATTTACACATAAACCTTCTTCAAATTTTGTTTGAGGTTTTGACAAAAAAGTAGAGGAAAAACCATAAAACCTAAAAAGTCTGAAGTTTGATGGTACAAAAGTGAATCAAAAGTATCAGGTATACTGGTGCTGTACATCAGATTCAAACCAAAATATGCAACTCTGCACGCCTCTAGATAGAAGCTCTTTATACAAAACCTTTGTTTTCTGTGTCTTGTAGAGACATGTCTGCAGTTTGCACTGCTTGCCAGACAAAAGGAAGGCTGAAGAGAAAAGTTGATGCTTTTATCCTGGTGAGCTCTCAGCAAATCACCTCATCATGTTACACTTCTTTTAAGATAAATCAAAAATGGCAGTAGCAGTTGTACAAAAACTGAAAATTCACAAGCATTCATTCACACAGTTCTGATCAGTGGATTTCCAATAACAACGGAAGATTCCAACCTGAGCTCTGCCATAGAAGAAAGCAGAGTCAAGGGTTTCCGTCCTTTCTCCTGATATGAGTAGGAGTCCAACCATCACAAAGGGAATCCTACAAAAACACACCAAGGACAGAATACTTCAACTAAATGATTTCTCTCTTTCCAGTGGAGCTCCAGAGAATCGTCTTCAATTCATACAAGGCACATCGTTATCTTTTTCAATCAAGACAGAAATATAAAACCAAATAATAAATAAAAGACCATCTTTTCACTGTGGACGCCACTGCTCCCGTCCCTGAATTCTCACCCCCAGCCCACAGCCATGAAGAGCCCAGGTCTGAGTCTGAGCAGATCATCTCTGTTAGTCAGAGCAAGACACAGAGGGATTAAACCTGGAGACACAGAGAAGCCCAAATGTCTCTGAAGCAAAGAATAAAATGTTTATTTAGCTGCTTTACAGGAACTGATGTTTTAATCATCTGACAAATACAAACCTGTCCAGATGTAAGTGCTGTACAGAGATCCATACAATACAGTGAAGGTGAGAACTTTACTGAGGAAATGATCTTCTTGTTTCACCAGAAAGTTCCACAGGATCATGCTAATGCACACTAAGAACTATCACAAAAAGCAGAGGGTTAAGGTAACAGACTGGAGAAAATATGAATAAATATGCATTATATCAATGCAAACTGCATCAAACTTAACTGACCTGAGCCAGGAAAAGGTTCAATACAAATAGATGAGGGAGCTGATTAAATTTCCTCCTCAGCAACATCAGAGCGATGGTCCAGACCTGGGAGAAACACAAACTGAGTTTCTCTTTTAAAATATCGATGCTGATCCTTGTTAGAGACTCAACTCTTTTCACTTCTCATAACAAAACCCAAATCTGAGGCTTAGTATCAATCGAATCCGATCCGATAGAGAAAAACAGCTGAATGGACTTCAAACATTTGTAACAGTTATCTTAGAAATCTTTGTAAATGTACAGAATTACAAAATTATTTGCGAACTCTGCCCCAGTACAACACATTTAAATCCACCAACAAGGCAGTCAAACATGGAAAAACAACTTTCATTAGTTCAGTCAGTGCAGTTCAGAGCAGAATGGTCAATGTAAAATAAATAGGAAAGAATTCAAATTAAGAGTGGGAGCAAATAGGAACATTTATTATAATCTAAAATAAATAATACAGAATGAACCCACTCAGAGAACAAAGCATAGAACGAGACTGAAAAGATTTGACTTTATGGATTGGGCACATTGTCACTGATACTCAATCTTGATTGTTTCTCAAACATCAAGACTGATCCAGATATTGATATGATATCAGTGAGCCTGAGGGAGCAGCAATGTAGAAGCACCAAAACCACAAACCAGTCCTATGAGGCTCATGATGCTGATGTTGAAGCTGACATTTTCCAGCTCTGCCACTAGGGGGCTAGGGTCCATCAAAGGAATGGTCAACAACCAGGCAGACACGTACATGATCGGAGCAGACAAAAAAGTGCTGATCACCATCCCAGACGTCACCTAGAACATAGAAAAACTGCGTCAAGTCAAAAGATTTCTGGTCACAGTTCGATGTCTTTTCTCTCTGCTAGGCTTTCTAATCGAAGAGACTTAAAGAAGCAGCAAAAAGAAATGAGATGGATCAGCAGACTCATGCAGTTTGGTTGGCATTAAGGCAAGCCTGTTGCAATAAGCAATTGATCAGTTAATCACATTATGAATTAAAATAAGTTTGATAATTAGAATTCTGATTATTAATATTTTTTGAAGGATAATTTGGTTTTCAGACTTCATAATCAACTTTATGTAAAGTTTTGGTTGTGTGGCTTTTATTTCCTTTTATTTATTGTTTTTGGTTGTTGTGTTATTTTCATATTTAAATTATCTTACAGTTCAGTAAAATTTAAGTTTACCAGTCTTTGAGGGGGAAAACTTGCATTATTATGCTGTTATCAATACATTACTTGAAAATGATCTCAAAAATATCAAGATTGTTTATCGGTAACAAATTGTACAGCAGCAATTGTCTCCATAACAGATCTACTTCAAGATAAAAAAAAAATATTGTGTAGAAATAAATTACTTTACATTATAATATAATACAATATAAGACTATACAGCACCCAACTCTGACCTGGGAGAAAGACAAACTGACAAAATTCTACTCTGGACTGACGTTTATTATTTATTAATTAGCATATTTCTATGTACATACTTATTTTGGAAGTGTGATTTATATTCAGATCATATATATATATATAATGCCTCATATATTATATATGAGGCATTTCTTTCGTTAAAAGATGAAAGCTTCATGCTGCTCCTGTTTCACTCCTGATTCATAGAATTTACATGCTTAAATCTTTGAAATGCTGTACGGCATGAGTAATGCAGTTTGTCATTTCAAAGAGAACTCACCACCTCCAGCTCCATGTTGTAGTGGCCAGCATATATAGCCACGCTTGGTGCAGTTGGAAAGACTCCGTAGAGAAAAGCAAAATTGGATAAACTGGTGTGGTTCGGGGTTGTGCTGTTCACCCCGACGTCCAGGATGTCCACCATGTCTTTGCAGACCAACGGCATTACCAGGCTGAACCGGACAAACATCACATAATCACTGAAACACTAAACACTTGTAACTTCCAGATGTTACATTTTGTAGCTTGGTTTTAGATCCCCAAACTTTTCAGCTTATGTATACTAAGCTGTAATTTCAGTTGTTATAAAAATGCTGTATAGATCAAATATGATTTAAAAGACATTTCACTTTGTAATTCAATGCCTTGAAATTAGGTCTCTGTCTCTTTAAGAAGCTTAAGCTCCTTCTGAATCTCTGCCTTCAGGAAGTCATCCCAGCATGGCTCCTCGATTAACCCATTATTAACCTTGTTACTGACTCTTTGCAAGCCTGTCACTTAATTACACAACACATTGGAAGTGAGGGACAGCAGTATTGAATTTTGACTAAGATAGTTGATTTTGACAATATTACCATGTGTTGCGGAAAGTGCCTCCACTGTATGTGATGATAGCTCAGGAAGTGGTGTGTATGTGAGATGTGTGGCAGCTGTCCTCCGGTCAGAAGGGGGGCGCTGCGTGCTAGAAAACCGGGATGCTTGAGGAGCGAGGGGGAGACGGTATGTGTGGCGGGATAAGTGCAGCGGCTAAGAAAAGTCTATGCAGTTTTCAACTGTTAGCTGGCGCTATTAAAAGTTAACTTCCAACCACCTTTGTGCCACTGCGTGGTTCATGTTCAAGGTGTATGAAGGAGTTAACCCCGAAGTAGACTTCACTTTGGCCCTGGAGGAAGAACTCCCAGGTGTCTCCCAACCACGGTCAGTAGACTGAGCAGGAACGGTTAACACTGGCGACCACGAAGGGACCTCTTCACCTTGATGGACAAGTGGTGAGCTAGTAGCGGCTAGCAATAAAGCAGAGAGACTGCATTAGCCCGTTGCTTAGCAACCACAAGATGGACGCCGCCGCTCGCCACTCCCGTGAAAAATATGGGCTCGAAACAGATTATTCCAACCCGTTTATGACATTAGATATGTCTTCCGAGGGTTCAGAGTGTAGAAAGGCTACTGAAGATGTGACGGTGGGGAAATGTGAACATTACAACCCTTTTCTGTTTATCCCTACTAAAGGTTTTATTGAGAAACACAAAGTACTCCTCGCTAGATAGAGTCTTAGTTCATCCCCAGAAATCTAAAACGGTCCCCCTTTGCTTCTTTAATCCTGCCAATAAAGCTGTGACCATTAAAGAACCAACCATCTGAACCCATGCAGCCTCCCTGTGCCTCACCGGCCACCGACTCGCCAGTCAGCATTCCGGTTGTTCCTCTGCACCTGGAGGAGCTCTATGCTCAGAACTCTAAAGGCCTCAATGAAGGTGAACGCCTCCAACTTAAACGTTTGCTTTCTGCTTATGGACATGTGTTCTCTACTGGGCCTGCTGACCTGGGCCGCACCAATCTCGTCCAGCACGATATTGTTCTTCGTCCAGGTGCCCCGGTCAAACAACCCCCACGTAAAATGACAAAAGAGAAGCAGCAATGCGCCGACCGGCAGATACACGACAGCCTGCAGAACGGTTTCGCCCAGAGCAGCCACAGCAGCTGGGCTTCGCCCATAATTATGGTACGTAAGAAGGATGGGACATACCGGCTCTGCATTGATTACAGGGCTCTCAATGAGCAAACCATATTGGATGCGTATCCTTTGCCCCGCATCCAGGATATGCTGGATACACTATCTACTGCCAGATGGTTCAACACGTTGGACCTCACCTCGGGTTACTGGCAGGTGGAGCTGAAGACAAGAGCACGCAAAACAGCTGCATTCTGCACCAGAAGAGGTCTCCTCAAGTGGAATGTCATGCCGTTTGGATTATGCAATGCCCCGGCGACATTCCAGCGGCTGATGGACCGCATCCTGACTGGCATGCAGTGGGAGACCTGTTTAGTCTACCTGGATGACGTCATCGCACTGCCGAGGAAAGTGTCAGAGATGCTGCAGCGACTTGGTCAGGTGTTTTACAGACTCCAACAAGCTAACCTGAAATTAAAACCTGCCAAATGCTGCCTTTTCCGCCAGCAGGTGGCCTACCTAGGTCACATAGTGTCTGAAGATGGTGTAGCTACGGACCTCAGTAAGATCCAAAAAGTCCAAATGTGGCCCACACCATCATCCATTCAGGAGGTCCGACGCTTCATCGGTTTGGCCTCATACTATCGCCGATTTGTGAAAGACTTTGCATCCATTGCTGAACCCCTTCATAACCTAACTAAGAAAAATGCTCGTTTCCAGTGGCATGCTGAACACCAGGCTGCTTTCAATGAGTTAAAGTCTCTCCTCATCTCAGCCCCCCATTCTTGGCTATCCCCTCTGCTGCGGTGAAATGGTACTCAACACTGATGCAAGTGACACCGGCATTGGTACTGTACTGTCGCAAAAGCAGGAGGGTGTGAAACGAGTGTTGGCTTATGGCATTCGCAAGTTGGCAAAGCCTGAACAAAACTACTGCACAACAAGATGTGAACTTCTGGCTATGGTGGATTTCACATCCCATTTTCGTCAGTATCTCCCCAGCCGACCGTTTAAGGTGCATATGGACCACAGCAGTCTGCGCTGGCTGACCAAAATGAGAGAGCCAGAAGGACAGTTAGCTCGATGGCTTGAGAAACTGGCTGAATACGACTTTGAGATTATCCACCGTCCAGGTCGACAGCACACGAATGCCGACAGCCTCTCCAGGGGATCCTGCCGCCAGTCCTGCCCATGTAAAGTGCAGGACCTCTCAACATCAACCAAAACCATCAACCATCGGGCTGTCCAGTGTGAGTTGAACTCTGACACCAGCTCCCTGTTGCTGAGTTCAGTGGGGGTGGAGGACCAACCTTCCACCACAGAGGTTTGTCCAGTGGGGGTAAGTCAAAACACCTTTTCATCAGATACAGAGACTTTAGACCAAAACATTTCCACTGATACAGACAAAATGCATCACAATGTTCAAACTGATGGATGCACTGTGAAATTGACTGAGAAAATATATGTGGCTAAGACTTCTGACACAGTTTCTTTGTTTCATGGCTGGACCATGGGGGAGCTGAGCCAGGCCCAGGATGCTGATGTGGACATTGCACCCATACGCAGCTGGATGAAGGCCAGTGATAAACGCCCCCCATGGTCCGTTGTCTCGCCATGCAGCCTGGCCACTAAGACATACTGGACTCAATGGAAACGACTCTACTTCAGAGATGGAGTTCTGGTCCGTCGGTTCTACTGCCTTGATGACACCCAATTCTACCCACAAATTGTGTTGCCACGTAAACTACAACTTGACGTGATGAGACAGATGCATGAGGGGCCGGTGGGTGGACATTTTGGTGTAGAGCGGACCTTGACCAGATTAAGAACCCAATATTACTGGTACCACATGAGGGAGGATGTTGCTGTCTGGTGTAAAACCTGTACCAGCTGTGCATCAAGGGTTCATAATGTCTATTGCATTGCACTGGACATTATGGGACCTTTAAATGAGACCGAGCGTGGAAACCGCTATGTGCTTGTGATACAAGATTACTTCACAAAGTGGACTGAGGCATTTCCTATTCCAAACGAGCGAGCTGTGACCGTTGCCGGTATCGTTGCTAGTGAGTGGGTGTGCCGCTATGGAATCCCTCAAGCGCTACACAGTGACCAGGGACGCAATTTCGAGTCTGAGGTGTTCCAAGGGATGTGCAATTTGTTTGGGATAGACAAGACTCACACAACACCATTCAGGCCGCAGTCAGATGGTCAGGTCGAGCGTTTCAATGCCACCCTCCAGAAGATCCTGGCTACTACAGCACCATGCTGTCATTGGGATTGGGACCTGATGATTCCTTATGTTGTTATGGCATGCAGGTCAACCAAACATAGTGCTACAGGTTTCTCTCCAAACTTTATAATGTTAGGCCGAGAAGTAAGTTGCCCCCTGATTTGGAACACCAACCCACTGCTCCAGAGTATGTGCAGCAGATGCGGAAATGGTTGAAGCTGGCCCACCAAATTGCTAGAGAAGCCCTGAGGGACTCTGTCACATGTGCAAAGAGACAGTATGACAAAAACTGCTGCCACACACAGTATAAAGCTGAATACCCTGTGTAGTACCTCATTAAAGGAACACATCGTGTCAAGAATAAAGTCAAAAAGTTCCTCCCATCATATGAAGGCTCATTCTTCATCCTAGGCCAACTGGATGACCTAGTTTACCAGTAATTTTCTGCCGCAACACAGAATAATAGTTTCACAAGACAGGATTTGTTGGCTCGCGCTTACACAGTGTGAAGGAGAGGAGATAGCCTGCACACACAGCTGAGAGTAAGATAAATGTGATCGTTTTTGGTGATCAGCGACCAGAGGTAGTGATCAGCGATCACTGATCAGGGGCGCCGCCAGGAATGTTGGGCCTCATGACAACTGTAATTGCCCCCCCCTCGCAGCTGCTGTTACAATTTCCTAACCTTAAGTCTTGCAGTTCAGGAGAGTTCTGAGATAGCAGGGAGTCAGTCATCCGCTTTAGTCAGCGCTAGCCAATAGGGACACATCTTACATCGTTCATCTTTAGGGCCCTCCCAGGATCTTCATGTGAGAATCACCAGCAAAACTCGTTGAGTTCAAAAAAAAAAGGGAGTGTCAAACAAAACTTTGAGAATCTCAACTAAAATCTTAGGCTGTCAACCAAAATGACATGCACAAATTAGTTTATGTTCTGCAAATAACTTTTACACTTCAAACAAAAATACATAATTTAGATTTTAAAAAAGCAGAAATGAACAATAAAATAAGAAGTTTGGCTTGTATCCTTGTCTGTCTGTGCAGATGGCCTCACAGTTTTTATGACTAGGTTTAGAGTTACATCAACTGAATAAAAGTGACTTTTACATACAGTAGGTCGTCTTGACGGCCATATTTAGCCGCTTTCTGAATAGAGTAATGTCATGTACAAAGGGTCAGTATTTGATTTTACAAAAATAAAACTGACTGGAAATGAAAACCCCTGACATCCTTCCCCTGACATTTTACTTACAGTTTGGCTGTTATGAGGAGAATCAGGGCAACTCCAGTGTCTCTGGTTAATTTTCTTAGCTGGCCGACCTGCCCCATAAGAACAGAGATAACAATCTCAGTAAACCTTGTGACCCTAGAAAAAAGATACAATCTCCAACAGCTCACCATAGTGAGGCCAAGGTAAAACAACGCTGCTCCTCCGAAGGAGTTGGCCAGGCCATCGATGAACTCAGAAAGAACAGAGGGAATCCGTTCTCCCAGGGCAAAATGAGAGATGATTCCCACTATCACCATGAACACTATTGGGTTCTTCAACACCTTGAGAGGCAAAGAGACAAATTTAGAAGAATGAACCAAACGTTAATACTTCATAACTGATATTATTACCTGTAAAACTACAATTCCCAGAATACTAAGACTACTGTGTTGCAGATGGCTGGCCTGCCTCCACCTTTGCACCTCACAAAGAGCAAAGCCGATGGGATTGAGGAGCATGAGGGAAACCGGGGCGACTAAGTAGATGTACTGCAGGTATTCTGGGTACGTACTTCGATACAAAGCGTCGACTGGAAGAGAAAACACAGCCAGACCTCAGAAATGATCTGAGATCAAATGTCCATGCCGAGTGAGTCTTACCAATTGGGTATCCCAAGGCAAAGTCATTACTCTGGGTAGCAAAGATGGCATAGAGACCAGCCTTGCTATATCTATTGTCTGGACTGGCCACCATCAGCGTCAGCACACACACCAGTACAAACACTGTAACCTGCCAGCAAGACAAGGTTATTCATTTTCTTCTAATATAGCAATAATAATATAATAAAAATGTATAGACATATTGCATGCTATGATGCGCACAACACTGGAGGGCAAAAAGGCGATTCTTTACATATCATCCACAGTGCTGCTGTAGTGCAACCAATCTGTTAACCAAATGAAACCTGGAGATATTGGTGTTTTCAGTGCAGAGCGCCTCAGAAAAAATCATTTGAAACCACTGGCATTCTTTTTTTCCCTTGTCAGCTATGTTAAACACACACTTATTGCCGTAGTAACTGATTGACCACAGCTCCACGAGTGTATCATAATTCAGGAACAAAAAACACAAAAATCTTCCACACAAAAAACATTCAGTTTGTCAGTTTTATGTTTTAGGCTTGATGCTTATTTTGTTGTAATTGATCATCTGAACACAGTAATGGTTGATTAATTATTTTAATCACCTGCTCTATTGATAATCTGTCAGAGTTGGTGTGTTGGTCACCTTTTTTTAACACACCAAATTCAGCAGCACATCTACATGTCCAGGTTGTCAAAGTCAAGCCAGCATAACTGACCGGCCTCCCTCTCCTAAATTTTTAAAATTTAAACTTTTTCCTGACTTGTGAAATGGGATATCCTTGAACTTTGTTACTTAGTTGTTGTAGTGTTGACAGCAAAGTGCTGCATCCCTTTTTCTTTTATGTCACATATACATTTAAGATTGTTATGTTGACAACCTGAAGCTACCTGCTGGTGATGGTAGTCATCACCAGCAGTCATCTGTGCGTGACGTCACGTTGCAGTGTGTCTATAATAATAACATATAGACCTTTGCTACCAAGACACTCCAAAGGAAAGCCCAAATGACGTCCCCAAAATCCAACAGGACCATGTTTTTAAAGAGCAAAGCAGGAAGAGCGAATTTAGAGACAAAGTTCCCCAAACCCTTTGCCTGGCTCTCCGTGATCATGTCAGCCCTGTGGAAAGAAAAAGGTTGAAAACTTCCAAGATCAAATTCTTTGACAAGTCACACACACGTCTCTGTTTCCATACACCTACCGTCCAGCTATATAACCACACAGAATGATTCCAAAGCACTCGAGAAGAGCCGGAAACAGCTTGTCAATGGACATGTGGGGTCCCGCAGTGGAGCCAGCCAACGTGTTGTGGGAGACGTTCTTCCCGTGGATGAAGACATAGTTCTTGGGGGTCTCCATAGCAGCACTGGGTTGAGAATTGGAGGGTTTTTGGTGATGGCTCCAGAATCAGAAGATGCTTTGAAGAAATTGACATCTGAGGCTTATTGTTATAACAGGTAAAACAATTTTAACATCCTGTATTTATGGAGTTACATTTGTTTCACAATTATTCAGTAATAATAAAAAAAGTCAAACAAAAATAAAATTGTGGTCAAAACTTTTAGATTTGCAAAAATTGTTTTGTTTCTAACAAAAAAAACTTATCTCAATCAAAACATTAAACTGGTCAAAACCTTTTGAATTGTAATAATCCTTTTTTTATTGTTCATTTTTTTATTATTAAAATCACTCATTTTTGCTTGATGAAGTGAAAAAGTTATTTGCAGAACATAAACTAATTTGTGCATGTCAGAATTTTTCTGAAGTTTTCTTTTATGCTCCCCTTTTTTTTATTGAACTCAAGTTTTGCTTGCGATCTTCACTCGATTATCCTGGGAGGGCCCTAGAGATGAACGATGAAAGACGTGGCCCTGTTGGCTAGCGCTGACTAAAGTGGATGAGTGACTGCCTGCTTCTCAGAACTCTCCTGAAATGCAAGGGTTGGGGTTAGGCTTTCTGCTTCGCTTCGGTGACAGGACACACAATGTGAATGCTAAGTAATCTTCACAAAATTACACCTTTTAAAAGAAAACTAAAGTGTCCACCTTTTTTTCAAAGAAGTCTGACACAACTTATGATGACAGTTACATATCTTGTCTGCCACGTTCCCAGTTAGCATATTGTGCTAGCTAATGTTAGCACTAGATAAAGTAGGCTTAAAATTTGTGATTTTAATTGCAATAATATTGTAACAATATTACAATACAAAAAGTTTTGACCAGTTAATTTTTTTCATTCAGATTTTTCTTTGAAATTTTTTCTTTTGTAAATTCAAAAGTTTTGATCACAATTTTTTTGTTTGTTTGTTTGACATGATTTTATTTTTGATTGAATGAAATCATCAATATTTGAACTGCAAAGTTGGATCTTATAGGTTCAAAGTCTGAAAGCACTACACAACATTCCTCTCAATTCTCATGTTTTGACTGGGAAACTACCATATTTTACCCATTTTGTGCCATGCTCCTGTATTCCTATTTTCCCATAAATTTGCCCTGTTATTACGTCACCAAACAGTTCTGACGTTATGCGTCCTGTCTGGCCTGGAGTATCCACCCTAAACCATCTAATTACAACATCCTAATTTATCCTACATGCATAACAGTGGTATGATTTGATATGTATTCTAATGTCCTTTGGAATGAATGAATGAAATATCAGTTTTGAAAAGGTAATCTGTATTGGAAAGGGGGATGTGGAGCTGTGGGGGGAGGTGGACAGCAGCGGCTGGCGAACCTTGCCCATAGATTTTCTTGTTACGCCTCTGTACTGTCTCCAAACGGATTGATTCGTCTCTTCCATCAATACCAGATCATTTGAAGCGAAATACGACGGCGCAAAATCCAAAGCCGTGGCTGCGTAAAATGAAAAGGCGGACAAAGCGAGCTGGTATCCGGGATTCCCTCATCGTCATTGCCAGCTGACTGTTACGTTATCATACCTGCATGCTAAAAACACATCTTGGGGCGCGGTAAGCCGTACCCTTCTAACCGTTTATGCTGTTTGAAATGATTTATTGGGCGAATATACTTCTTACCTCTGTCCTATAAGCACTGCACTACACAGGCGACGACATTCCTCTGTCTTTTTTGCTCTCTAAGCTCTTGTTGTTGCTGTTTGGGATGAAGGCGGCTCCCAATCTGACAGCTGCAGCGAGTAGACACGCCTCCACAAATGACTGACAGAAGCTTCAGCAAATCACCGTAAAGAACGTTTTCTCCTGGCGTCTGTGATTGGTTCACTTCAGAGGACCGTTCTCCAGAGAGAAAGCTACAGAAACAAGAAATACACATTTCACATATCTACAATTAAATTATGACAAGTCAAAAAATAAATTCAAGATATGCCAATTTTAGTTTTGACTAGTCACAATTCTAATTAAAGATATCTCGAATGACAGAATAATTCAGAACAATAAACCTCCATCAAGCATCGGTTGGGTTCTTAGTTACTCCAATTAATTGGAGGCTCTAACAGTTACTAAAATAATCTGAACAATTCCAAATATATATGAAATATTGACAGCTTTTAGTTGTCAACCAACTATGGTAACTAAGTATGGACAGACGGACAGACAACCTCTTCAATCTCTGAAAGACAGGTTGCAGGAGTTCTGTCAGCATTGCTGCAAAGACAGCATTTGGATATAATACTGATCACGTGCACTCAGCTTCTTTGGATGACCAAAGCGACGTCTGTTCTGAGTGGACCCAGCTAAATATGCTGGATGATATTGGCTTCTGTGCTGCAGCTCAGTTTCAGGGGGTTGGAAATCCTCTCGCAGTCTTGGTCATTTTCACATAGCACAACTTTCAGTGACCAGTATGAGAGGTGTACTAGAAAATCTAACACAGCTGCTCTGTATTCACACCTTAAGCCTTGTAACACCAACTAATCACGACATTTTGGAGGAGAAAATGACAAGCAGTGTTCAGTTTGGACTTTGAGTGGTGTAGTCTTTTAGGGGTGTACTGACTTTTATTGCTGGCAGTTTAGACTACTAGCTATACATAGTTATTTGGAGAAGATTCAATTTATACTGTTGTACAAGCTGCACACAGACAACTTTTCATTGTGTCAAAGTGTCATTTTGTCAGTGTTGTCCCATGAAAAGATATATTTAAATATCTGCAGAAATGTGGCATAACTTTTGTGTTACACCATTTATACACTGTTACGGAAAAGATTACAATAAGGTCACATCTGCTAGTCATGTCATATGAAATGTTTGTGAACTCTCACCAAAAGAACTATTTGGGTTACATGTACGAGGTTGGAAGGTTGTTTCCCACAGCTGCATGGGAAACTTGTTTGTTCATTCATGTTTTTCATTCCTTATCATTGTATAAAACTTATATGTAGTCCCTGGCTGGGGGAGCTTTGCGGATTTTGCGAGGCTTGCATCAAGACTAGCTTGATTATTGATTATCTTATGAGCTTTCTGAATTGTGCACAATTCATGAATAAACCTGACTGAGTCATTTTACCCGAACAGTGCTTGGAAATACATTTTTCCCACGACAACACACATACACATGTGCCTGTCACAATACACAATAAATCAGTTACTTGCATGATAAATGAAAATGATCAACCTCATTTTAATTTATCAGCTTAATTGGTTCTTCCTGCCTTTTCCTTTTTTTTAAAAAAATGACACTATATGATAAAAGGCTCACCTCCAGTGCTCTCCACTGATGCCTCCCTTCCTCATCTCCTTAGCGTAAGGAAGGAGTGAACTATTGCATAACTGATCATCTTCTCCATCTAAAACTAATGATTACTGAAGGACAATAAAAAGTCTGTATCGTAAACAGACATCATAATCTGTACTCTTTTGGCTGAATGTAGTTTTTATTTCCAATTTGGTTTTATGTTGCGTTTAGTTTTTATTATAGTGCATTTTTGTTAACGGCGACTGAGAGCCCATTTTGGTTTTGTTTGTTTACCTGTGTTCCTTTGAAAAGAAACTATTTTTGTCAGGATGTGCTTGCATTATTACTGAGTCCTCCAGGGACATGGAATTTTTTTTCTTTTGCGTTCCCTCACAACACTGTTCTGTATGAGGCTTTGACAGCTGCGTGGTTTGTACCTGATGTCACGTCGATGTGGGCGTGACATCAGGTATGGATTGAAGGTTACTGGCCTGCTGGCTTTGTGTGTGTGAGGAAGCGGGTGAGCAGAGAAATCAGTCCTTGCAAAGTTTGGAGCATGAAATCAAAATGGAATAAATCAATACTTGTGTGACAGAACAAAGAAATGGTATGGAGTTGATTGATACATGAAGATGAGATTCCCTGAGTTAACCCAGCGCGGCTCTTTACCATCATTAGTTTACCGTGGTTTATAATAATAAAACTGGTTTATCAAATCTTTGGTGCAAAAAACCAATTGAAAGTAAATTTTTTCACTGCATGTTTATGTCTGTTGAGGCTGAGATGGAAATGAACATGAAAACGTTCCTTTAGTTTAAACCATTCAGACTAGAACACAACAGAGACAATTAAAACTGTCAGATGACTTATAGCTCAGAAATAGTCCAAATAGTTTGGATTTATTTATATTTCTTTCCTACTTAGGGAAAGTCTCTGGTTATATCATAGGCTTATGGTGCCTTTCTTTCCTAAAGAAAAAGATAAAACTTCCGCCATTTCACAAAGAGATATTAACATTCATGAAAAAACCTCACAAAATCTTACATTAAAGCAGAAAGTACAGCGGCCACCTTAAGAAAGGCTTTCAGTATTTAATTATGCTGCATAACTGATCAGTGCAGTATTGTGAGGGAACAAAAGTTTTGCAAGGGAACGCATTAGAAAAAAATTCCTTATGTCTCTTACGGGGCTCAGTAAAATATTACGTCATTACCATTACATCGGTTTAAAATGGTTTTCAAACAATATTCTCATTTATTGCAATAATTTTTGAGACAATTAATCACTCAGCAAAATTTGTTATCGTGACAGGTCTAATATTAATATCTCAAGAAATATTTTAAGCTTTATATCTTTTTCTTTAGGCTAGAAATGTACCACAAACCTATGATATAAACTAAAAATCTCCATAAGTAGGAAATAAATACAAATTTCTACATCCAATACATCCAACCAAATTATTTAATCAATTATTGTACCAAAGGGTTAAGAATAAATGTTTTCACTGAGGCTCTTAAATGTGTGCAAATTTGAAATTCAAAATTGACATTTTTAACTGCATTTGAAATAGACCATCAAATATTGCAGTAAGCATAATGTGAGGAAACAAAACTTTTGCAAGGGAATGCAAAAGAAAATCGTTTCACTATACCCCAAGAGGGCTCTGTAAGGAGCAGCTTGTAAATCAAGATATATTTGCGTTTGCATCACAAATACAGTCTGAATCTTGTTTTGTGCATTTGTAAATTATGAAACTGTTTTAGCTCCATATTATGGAGCTCCAAATAAGTTCACCATATGTTTCATACATCTATAAATGTCATATTTCCAAGCTAAATAATTAATCCACATCGAAGCTAATTGTTTAGGTCCAAATTAATTATTTCAACTAAATATGTAGTTTGGAAATAATTAAGTGGAAAACTATTATAATTAACAGAAATAAATACTGGAAAACAAGTGTGTCAATAATCAACATATGGTTTAGTGATAAAATTCCTAACATAAGTGGACTTTTTAGTAATATTTAAAATTAAATTGATCTGTATTTTAGTAGAGATCATTTTACAACAAACAAGTTTAAAACACCTTTGTTTACATTTATTGTCCTCTTTATTGCACATTTATGAAATGAATAATATGGCTTATGTGGTAAGATATTGTTTATCTAATTGACTTTTCTGCTCACTGTCCTTTTCTATTCCCAAACAGGAATTGTTCAGGAATATTGGTGTATGATTTAATAAAAGCATTCCCCTTTTTCACCTAAAGTAAGCATTTTAAATGCAAATAGTTTCCTTTCAGATGACAACCTCACAGAAAACATTTCTTTGAAACAAAACAAAGCAGAATATTATAGCGAACATAACACTGCAAACAAAACTTATCCCATAGTTCAATATCAGCTGATTACATCATAAAGATACATACAGACTCTGCTGTGCATCAAGACAATTTAACAAAACAATATTCAGTAAGATTTTTCAATCATGATGTAAAATTCTGCAGAAATGTCCATGAAAACACATCAAGCATCCTCGCAAAATTAAAACGTACCGCTCCAGTGGTTGTAGCAGAAACAAAGTGGTGAAAAAAACTAAGTCTACATTCATGCTGTAGAGGCACACAGAGAGGCTGAGATCATTTGAACTTTGTCTTTGTCTGAATCTAAGGCACCTTGATTGATTTCCTGATGCGTTGGGTTATAAAAATCCAAAACTCAGTTATGGCATCAACTGAAAACAGAGGAAATAGAATAATTACAAGAACAAAATTTAAGTATCAAAATCAATGAAGGCTTCCAGGAACAGCATGGTTATAAATGTATAAAAAAACAACAACAAAAAAACAACAACCCCAAAACAAATAATTTCCCCAGCGCATAAATGTACAAAATAAACCATTTCTCTACAACAGAGGCATATGGTGTGACCTCCACTGTGCTTTTATTTGAATTCCTGGAGCCTTGTGGTCCTCACATGAGGACTTCTGGTCAACTGAGAAAGCGAGAGATGAGAAGAGAGGAAGAGGTGGAAGGTCCAAGTGTTGTAGAGGCAGCCATCTTTACTTCACCTGGGTATAGGGGGAAGGGGAGGAGCGCCTCGCTCTTTTTTACCAGAACCTGGAAATTACAGAATCAATTAACAGAATGTGTTTTTTAAGATGGAACATATGCACAGAATATGTTCCTCCACCATATGGTGCTGTGACACAAATATGAAGACATTCATTTCTTTGTAAAGGTTTCAGAGATTGAAAAAAATGAGACCATAATTCACTTTTTCCACATTTAATGTGACATAAGCGCTGCATGACTCATATTAAAAGGAAATATCTAGTTTAGAATGAAAATTTTTTAAAATCCTGGATGAATAAATGTACAAACCCTTTCAACAGTGTTGTTTTTTAGTTCACACCTTCCATCGGTTGTAGAGGGATTGAGAAAAGTGAAAGCAATTTGGAATGACCATAAAGTGGCAATTTGTAAAATCAGTGAGAAGGTAGCACTTGTTGAGAGAAACGTTGAGCAGAAATCACCAAACCTCTGCACCAAAGACTGTTTTCAAAAACAAGTAAAAAGCATTTTTCATGTTTCTGCTGGTATGAAGCCAAAAAGTGTTCCTGTTAAAAACTTAAATATTATTTTGTACCTAGCATTTCTCAAAAATGTATGTGAAAACACAAAATATTTTGGACAATGAAAACAGTTTGGAGTTTGTTTCCAGTCATATTTGTTTGGAAGTACCTCTTATGTGAACATAATCTCTATTTAGTTAGCTATGGTGTACCTCAAGCTGAATGTTGAAACCTCTTGTTTTCACTCTCTATGTTGCCCCTGGAATACATTTTTGCACACTTTAACTTCTTTTCACTGCCTTGCAGATAATTAGCAGATTTATCTTCCCTTTAAACAGGGAAAAACTTGGGCTGTTAGCTCACTGTCTTGAAGATGTTTAATAGTGGATGTCTAGAATATTTTTTTTTCCCCAAATGAAAATTGTCATCATTAAGATAAAGTGCATTGGGTCCTTTATCGTCTTATTGCAAAATAAATGTTTGGAACAGTCTGCTAAATTTGACATTGACAACATGTGAGCTAGTCTTCACATACTGCATGAAAAACATAAACAAAAAATATGTTTTCACATTGTGTTACTCACCTTTGCTCTCTGTCTTAGAGATCTTACTGGGGTAGGTTTTCTGCGAGGGCACATAGGGGTCAGGTGGAGGAAGGTCCGAAATGGGATGAAAGGTGAACCTGCACTCAAAGTCATCTGTTGAATGAAAGAAACCAGAGAAATTATCGCCATTAGACTGGATGATCGATCCAACATGACGCAAAACAAATGGAGCTGAACCAGTTTTTGTAAAGGTGCTATGAATGGGATCTAGAACCCTCCGCTGTTTTAGGCAGAAACTTTTGTCCCCCCACTGCCTTCCAGAATGAAGCCACCTTTGTGATTGATTGAAGACAAAAAATTTAATTGGAGGTCGGGGAGTTTCCTGCCTTAAATGAAGCATGTGGTAAAAACAAAAATGATGGCAACACAATCAGTCTGAAAAATGCTCCACTGGACTTTTTCTAAATCAGGCTTTCATAATGTGTATGGTGTCAAATACAAAATACAAAAGTATTCATGCCCTAAGGCAGGGGTGTAAAACTCCAGTCCTCAAGGGCCGGTGTCCTGCAACTTTTAGATGTGCCTCTGCTGCACCACGTGAATAGAATAACTGGGTCAAGACCCCTATGAAGAAAGGCAACTTTGGCTCTCGTGTTCCCTCACCCGGATGCGGGTCACCGGGGCCCCACTCTGGAGCCAGGCCTGGAGGTGGGGCACGTTGGCGAGCGCCTGGTGGCCGGGCTTTTACCTATGGAGCTATCAGAGCTCCATAGGTAAAAGAGCTCTTTGAGCTCTTTGAGATGGGCTGTCAGGGTCTGGTCCACATTGCCGGCAATAAGTCAGGCTCGTTCCCGGTGAGGGTTGGACTCCGCCAGGGCTGCCCTTTGTCACCGATTCTGTTCATTACTTTTATGGACAGAATTTCTAGGCGCAGCCAGGGTGTTGAGGGGATCTGTTTTGGTGGCCTTAGGATTGCATCTTTGCTTTTTGCAGATGATGTGGTCCAATTGGCGTTATCAGGACGTGATCTGCAGCTCTCGCTGGAGCAGTTTGCAGCCGAGCGTGAAGCGGCCGGGATGAGGATCAGTGCATCCAAGTCCGAGGCCGTGGTCTTTAGTCAGATAGGGTAGAGTGCCTTCTCTGGGTCGAGGGAGATGTCCTGCCTCAAGTGGAGGAGTTCAAGTATCTCGGGATCTTGTTCACGAATGAGGGAAGAAGGGAACGGGAGATCGACAGGCGGATTGGTGGAGCGTCTGCCGTGAAGCGGCGCTGTACCGGTCCGTCGTGATGAAGAGAGAGCTGAGTCAAAAAGCAAAGCTCACGATTTGCGTTCCTACCCTCATCTATGGTCATGGTCATGACCGAAAGAGATCTAGGATGCAAGCGACCAAAATGGGTTTTCTCCATAGGGTGGCTGGGCTCTCCCTTAGAGATAGGGTGAGAATCTCAGTCATCCTGGAGGGACTCAGAGTAGAGCCACTGCTCCTCCACATCGAGAGGAGCCAGTTGAGGCTCAGGCATCTGGTCAGGATGCCTCCTGGACGCCTCCCTGGTGAGGTGTTTCGGACACGTCCCACCGGGAGGAGGCCCCGGAGAAGACCCAGGACACGCTGGAGGGACTACGTCTCTCGGCTGGCTTGGGAATGCCTCGGGATTCCCCTGGAGGAGCTGGAAGAAGTGGCTGGGCCTCCCTTCTTAAGCTGCTACCCCCGCGACCCGACCCCGGATAAGCGGCAGAAGATAGATAGATGGATGGATGGATGGGTCATTAGCAAGGCTCTCAAGAACTTTTCTACATAAAAAGGAGGTAAATAAACAATTTCATTCCAGTGTTGTGGCACATCCAAAAACTGTAGGATTTTGGCCCTTGAGGTTTGGAGTTTGACATCTGTGCGCTAAGGGTTCTGTCCATATTTTCTTACTTCTCAACAACTAACCCTCTTCTGTCTTCCCATGACTTTAAAGAAAATGTCAACTCAAAATAGCTTGTAATTGTGAAATGAAAGTATGCATGCTTCTTAAAGTTTTTTGGTAAATACTCAAGAAAAGGGAATTGCGCATTGGATTTGTGACATAATATGAACAGATTCTTGTGGTATCAGGTGTATTACACTGGAGTTATGAACTTTACTCTTCAATTTATATTGCTCATTTTCATTTTTCAGTCTTTCTCTAAACTAAAGTTAGCACATTGACAGGTTTATAGACCTTGCATTTGGTTGTGGTGAGAGTTTTGGAAGCCATTCCCCATCGGTGGTGGAGGTGGTAGTCCCCCAACGGGCCTGTCTGGCGGCAGGGGGGGCCTACTGCCAGGGCCGCCACGAGGAGGCTCTGGGCCCGGCCGACCGATGGGCGGGGCTGCTTGGGTTGCTCTTAGGCTGCCTACGCCCATGCTGCGACCTGAAGGAGGTGGTGGAGGAAGAGGACCTTTGGAGGAAGAATGAATTTTATTCATTAAACAAACAACAATTTTCTATATTTCTTATCTATTGTTTGAAAAGAAGTGACAACTGGTGGGTTACCTGTGCGTGGTGATGACTGGTTTCTTCCAACAGATGGTGGTCTCTCATTTGGAGGAGGAGGAAGGGGTCCTGATCGACCAGAAGGGGGTGCTGGAGTGTGGCTGGAAGTGATTAAAAAAACATCCATTTTGATCATTTTTTTCTTCACGGAGCAGTATTACGCGTTTCCAGGCATGCAGTGACATTTTATAGCTCAATGAAGTAACTATGTTACCTTCATTTGTTATAAAAATGCTGAGTATATTAAATATCACTTTTTTTTTCTTTGAGGATTTTGTTGGCTCTTGTGGCCTGTATTTTTTGAAGGTATGTTGACAGGAAGAGGGGAACGGAGAGATGGGAAGATATGTGGCAGATGTCACCGGGGCCGGGAGTCGAACCCGCAACGGCCACGTCGAGGACTAGGGCCTCCATATGTGGGTTGTGCTAAACCCCTACGCCACCACAGCACATCCAGATTAAATATGACTTCAAAGAAATTTGAAATTGGGTCTCTGTCTCTTTAAAAACTTCTGCTTTTTCTGAAGCGCCGACTTAAGAAAATCATCCCAACATTGCTCCTCTTTTAAACCTTTAACAATTTTACCAGCATTACTTTGAGAAGTAGCTCAGCAGTTCCAGGAGGTATCTGTTTATTGTAGCTGGCTAGTCTGAAGGAGCTCAGTAGGGGAGGGGCTGTGTCTTGAAGGCGGGGCAAGGTCCACTCAGGACCTTGCAGATAAATGGTTGCAAAAATGATAGCATGATGCAAAGCTAAAAAAAAAAAAAAAAGAAAAAAAAAGATTTTACATGATGCTGCCCCTTAACACAAAAGTCTTTTGAATTTCTGGGATTATGACTTACACATCCAATTTTTACAAGAAGTCTAAAGACTTGCTGTAAAAATTGAAAGAAGGCTTTGATATCTTTTTCAACTGTTTTAGAAATTTCTTTCTGCAAGTAGTTCTGACTAGACTATTTGGCCTATATGACAAAAAGTTGGAAACGACTATGCTACAATAGATGATGATGGCTGTCTCAAGGAAGGATCTCAAGTAGCAGTCTGTATTACAGTGAATCCGAAGAAGCCTCTGACTGAAAACACTTTGTTCTCCCAAGACAAAGTGGAGAATGAACATCCTCTTCACTCGTGAAGAGAATGTTCAGGGTTGTCAATCACTTTTTTTTTGATCCTATGAAGAATCTTTCTGTGCAGAATCATCTCCAGAGGTTCCACAGTCGTGCCAGAACAGAACCGGAACAGAACCAGCCTTCTTTATCAGGCTGTTGAGCCTTTTTAGGTCCCAGGGTTTGATGCTGCCATCCCAACATCTCTCTCCTCTGGGCTCCATCCACAATCCTTCCTTTTCAATCCTCTCTGATTTCTGGCTTCAGCTGTGGTATTATTTCAGCTTTTCCGATGTTGATGAGCTGCTCTTTGGTATAAACCACCTTGTTGCTGGGGTTACATATAATAACAAAGCAGCAAAGGTATGACAAACATTGACCAAAATAAGCTGCGTCAGTCTGGCGACCTGTCCAGGGTGAACCCCGCCTCTCGCCCAGAGCGCAGCTGGACATAGGCACCAGCAACTCCTGACCCCAATAGGGAAAAGGGTGA